TTCCATGTATCTATATGCCATAATAGTAAATTTTGATTTGTTTATACCAATAATAATTTGTTTATAAAACGGCTTGGTATACTCGCTGAAATTATACATAAAATCTTGAGAAACTTTAATAACATGAAAATTTTTTGAAGTAGTTTCTACCATTTGTTGGTATGTTTCAGGTAAATAAACTCTTTCGGTCTTTCGTCTAACTTTTTCTATAAGACCGAAACAYCGGTCACAAGGTAAGAAACTGTGACCGGGTTCTGGATACCTATGTATGATGTGTTCAATACCAAACATTTTAAATTTAACAATAGTATTTAAATATTGAAATAATGCATTGTTTTTATTTTGTGCGCTACAATTATCTGTAAAAATATAATTTTTTTTATACCTGGCTTTAAAAGATGTTTGAAATAGTAGTGTATAAAACTGATCACTTCATTTTGACTTTTCTTAGCTATTGTTTCATCATACATGAAGTGGAATAATTGTCCAGTTTTTCCAGAATATATACAAAAGTTGTTGAACCACAGCTGGCGTTTGTTGAAAATATCACCACATTCCACATGAGGGAGTGGCATGTTTTGTTGGTAATCAAAAGTTATAAGTTCTACCTCATTGTGTTCTTTAGCCTCGATGCGATAGGTTTTCATATCACTATAAAATACTTCAGCTTTTCTAATGTGAATTTCTTTTTCAAGCTCTAGTAGATGTTTAACTTCTAAATTTTTTTCTGCATCAATCATAACCTTATATTTGTCACAGGACTGATATKTGTCAGATCTAGGATATCCAAAGGCTAGATTAAAATTATTATTAAAATATTTATTATAATATTTATATTTGACAACAGGTTTGCCTTTTTCCCCGCGTTGAAATTGAGCATATACAGCTGGTTCATAAAGTTCTAAATATAACTTGTACATTTTGGACACAGATAGTTCTGAAGGTAAATAACGAATATTATTGTTGTCATGTCTACTGTAATGAGAAGAACGACTAGGAAAGCTCTTTATATGTGTTTGAACTCTATGCAAAACATCTTCAGGTAATTTGTTTGGTCGGTTGTGATGTTTCCCACGCAAATCAACTGGACTAGGCTCATTAGATTTTATTTTATTTAGAAGTCGTTCCACTCTAGATTTGCCTATGCCAAATAGTCTACAAAACGATTTTTTGCAAACAATAACTTCTTTAGTATCAAGACGTATCTTATATTTGCAGGAACAAGACCTACTTTTACCAAGGCCCGATTTTGGTCTACGCCTTACAACGGTATTAACACTTATAAGACCACACAAAAAAGTGTCTTGTTTTTCCTTGCTGTTAATTGAGTTAAACATATTGATAATAAGTTTCTTTTCATCATCATTTATTTTGGAATAGCATTGATAGGCACATTTACAATCTAAGCCTGTTGTTCTTTCTTTAATTAATTTATTTGTAGTGTTACTGACAAATTCCTTACCTTCAGTTCGTAATTTTTTTTCTTTATTGCACTTCCAATTTACTGGGCCACTTCTTTTTGTTGCAGTGGAACTTGAAGGTCCTACAAAAATATCTGTCTCATCATCAGATGCTTCGATAATATTAGGACTATCCAAATTACCCTTAACTTGTTGAACTTGTTCACACTCTGAGTCAGTCTCAAAAGCAAGAATACCGTCTAAAATATCATCGGCTTCTGGTGTCTGTTTCTCAATAACAAAATCGGGATCTATATTATCATCATCAAATTCTGATTCTGATTCTGAAAACGACTCATCAAGTCCATCATATATGAGTTTTCTWTTAGCGTACATATTAAACTTCCTCGTTATATATTTTATATAATAAAATAAAACAATTAATATAAAACAAACTACTAAGATCAGACTAGAGTCTACTAGACTACAACCGTATAGACAACATTATTAGTACATTACTATTGATTATTCAAACAGGTAAATAATTTAAATTTAACAATATTACTGTTATCAAAACTGAAMATTGATAATAGCATAATATGCGATGCACGTGTTAAATACAGTATAGGCAATATTCACGGCAAAACTAAGACAGCCCCGGAGTTGTCTGGKTTTTCGCCTGAAATCAAAAAACCAGGTGGCTCCAAAACCATTATAATTTCTATACGGATAGTCGGATTTATCTCGTTCTTGCACAGAAAATCTGATAATAATTTTTTCGATTTGAAATCATGATAATACTAATTTCGTTAAAAATGGAGCTATCTGGTTATTGCACAGAGCCCTTCAATTATGCTATTATTTTTAGTTTTGTTTTAAATATTTATTATATAACTTGCGCTAACTTTTTTTTTATACAGTGAGTTTTCTCTGGTATGAGATTATTAGTACTTCGATTTTCTTATTTTGTACTCAGATTTTTTGAATTATATTGTTTTTTATGTTTATTGTGCATTAAGTGGTGTGTTACGTTAGAAAAGAATCCACCGATTAGTTTGAMGCTTCACCCAAATGTATTGTATTATTATGATATATATTATAGTCCAGTGTTTATGAAAGTTACAACCATATTAAAAAAGATGACCAAACCTAACGCGCCTGACATTATATTTCCAAAACTCGTAAACCAGCCCCATATTTTATGTAATTTTTTATGGACTAATTTGCTTATGGTCTGTTCATCGATTAGGTTTTTAACATTAATGCCCTRATCTATCACACTGTAACCTAATATTTGTCTAATTAAATTTCATTGAACTGTCTCAGATTCTTGAGAAAACATTAAATGATTTTGTAGTGCCTTTATTATGTCAGTTGTATATATGCCTGCCGTCATGAAGTTGTCTGAACTTTCGTAAGACCAAGTAAGAGTGGTGTCAGGTTTTCGCAATTGTGGATTATTCATCTTGTGTGGTTTTGGTGTTACGGAAAACCATTTTCCATTTTTTTGAAAAGCAGGGGGTAAATATTCTTTACAGTCTATTTGAGTGTCATAAGTCTGTAGTATATGAGTTTTCGGAGTCATGAAAAATGTTTTGTTATTGAATAATACCGGAAGTTCGTTGAAGCATGAAGTTTGTACCGACATATCCACATTTACGGGCTTACATTTTTTGTAAATAAATTAGCCATTCTTAACGGCTACTAAACCTGGTCCTTCACCTATGGTGTATGTGAATTCTGGTAAGCTGTATGAAGCAAGTATTAATTTTTGTAATAGGAGTTGCCTTTCGAAATTACATTGTTTTTTTGTTAACTCTTCATAAAGATTTGTGACTGTTCTTTTTATGGTGTATTCGAAATAAACAAATTTTGTATTCATATATGACAGTAGGTCAGTGTTAAATAGTTAAATTTTTTTAGTTGAAAAGATGTTTACATACATCGGATTAGATAATATAAGTAATTGATTGTTCTCGGTTTGAATAACTGGTATATTGCAAGCAAATGCTATAGATGTCTTTTTTAATGCAAATGCATTGTATGTGGTCTCTAAAATGTAAGTTTTGATTTTGTGGTTATTCTAACCTACGGATGTAACTATGGAGGCTGTTCCATCATATAACACGTCGTATTCAGTGATACTAGAGTCTGACTTTTCGTTCCTTCAAATTACTTCCCCTTTATATTAGTCGAGTCCATATGAATCAGATAATTTTAATCTAGAACCCTTCGGTAAGATTAATATGTTTTCTTTATTATTTGCTAACGGTATACCCTTGGATAAATGAATTTTATATTTAGCTTGCACTATGACATTGTTACATGTACCCTTAGAATTAGTGAAAGTGGTACCTTAGTAATTGCCATACTTATCTAATATTCCCTACTTGTATGTGAAGTGATGAATGTTTCGTTTATTCGTCTGCCTGATATTATGCCTCCGAATGGGGTTTGATAAATTAATTTTTTTATGTAAGCTATCATATCGAGCATGTCCTAATTCGATAATTTCTGAATGATAACCTCCATCTACCATTTGGCCGTCTTCGAATGTGGAGCATCTTATTATCAAGTAGTCTACGGAAATGAAGCATAACTTAAAATATTGTATATGTATTTCTAATTTTTTTAGTAATTTCATTTTTGGTAGTGATTCGATTTCTTTAGGTTTCGGAGTTTCGAAAAGATCTACGTTTATGCTGTTAAAAGCACTAATGTTTATTTGTGGGCCCCAACAGTCATAAGCTATGAAAGTTTGTATGGGATATGTAMATCTTTATACTACAGATGTAAGTGAGTATATACTTTATATGGATTGGAGGCATCTTTTATTGTGCACTTAATTATTATTATTATTATTATTTTTATTAATATTATTTTGTTTTTATAGTTATTATGCCTAKATAGTATGTGATAATATGTTGTCACCTTGATCTCTGAATTTACTGTAATTATGTTTTTGTTAGTATTATATTTTATTAAAATACAATAAGTTGTTAATAAGCGATAAGTGTTTATAAATCATACATCATATTATTACACATGATAATGGCATTAAAAGCAATTATAATCTTTTTAGAGTAAGTAAAGCTAATTTTATGTATATTTTTTTTTTTACTGTGTTAGGTTAGGTGGCCTATTCTTATTATAATAGTTAAGGTTAATATTCTTACATGCTGCTACAAACTAACTTAATAACAATATAATAATTATATATAATTAATTCCTATAATATAAATTATTACATATTATATAATTGTATCAGTAAAACTTACATAATCTTAATTTATATCAGCGTTATATTTTAAGATATATATAATGATTATTTTATTATTTTTTTTTTTTATTGTTATTTACTAATGTCTCTTAGGCTCGGGCCACACGATGCGTTATTGCCGCATGCGTCAAAATAAATTGCGGTGACGCCGCAATGACATATCGGGCCACACGATGCGTTGCATTGCGTTGTGACCGGATGCGTTAGGTATATTTTTAAAATTTTCTAAGTCTAAACTTGGGAACTCAAAATTAATTTAGAATGAAAAATTAATTTAGTTTCAATCTAGACTTAGTATCGCGAGGTCGATAGTCGATACTATGTCCAATAAAACAATTTTAAAAGTGTTGTGTGCAGCAGAAGCTGCTGGAGAATTCGATGAACCTACTCCTTCAAAACGAAGATATTGGGTACACCCCTTAAATTCTGATAGAGAAAAAAATAAAAAAAATTCAGAATTTTACAAAAATATACGTAAATATCCCGAAAAGTTTTTTGAGTATTATCGAATGTCGGTTAAATCATTCGACGAACGCTTAGCTAAGCTTCGTCAACTTTTAACTAAAGAAATTACAAATATGCGTAATCCTTTAAGTCCGGAGGTTAGACTGACGGTGACTATAAGGTAAGTCAAGAAAATGTATTATTTACCTTCAATTGTTTGAAATTATAAAAAAGTTATTAAAAATATTAAAGTATTCTTTAAAAAAAAAACTTATAAATAAATATATTTTATATATTTTTTTATAATATGGACAACATTTCATAAATGTGATTACGCATATACATATCACTAAATATGTACTATACGTCTATACGTCTATTATACTAAACTGTTTGCCTATCTGTAATATTTTATAATAACTAAAAAATAAATAAGACTTGTTTATAGATACATTATGAAAAACTGTATTCTTTTTTTATTAACTTCTAAGTACAAAAAAAATGTATTAACTGTTTAAAAAACAAAAAATTGTAAAATGAATACAAAATATAAATACTCGTACAAATATAATAACAATAAAAAAAACGTTTAACTTTTTTAAATTTCTTAAAATAAATAAAAATAAAATAAAATTATTATCAC